ATGCCATGCCATGCCATGCCATGCCATGCCATGCCATGCCATGCCATACCATACCATACCATACCATACCATACCATACCATACCATACCATAGACTGACGTATTGATCCATTCATGCCTCTTGTTTCTGCTGAGACACAGTCTTGTTACACTGCACAGCCTTGCTTCTAACTCCTGTGCTCCGGGGAGCCTCCTACTCCAGCCAAGGACTACAGGCATATACTTCCAGAACCACTTCACTCCTGTGAAGTGAATATGCCTTGACCTATCGACCAAGGAGAAGTCTAGAAGGTGAAGGAACAAGACATAGATGCGGGTAATACAAGGGACAATGCTGCCCAGAACACACTGTGAAGGTAGAGGTGCATTCTAAGGCAGCGTGTTTAGTAGGGAGTGAGAGGCTGAGACTCTGCATAGTCCTAGAGGAAGGCTTCTCTGATGCAAGTTGCCACCAAGGGTCTGAAGGCTGTTCTGAAAGTTGTTCTCTCAGAGACTGTGGACTGCTGTCCTCCTAGCAAAGCAGCCATTATGGTCTTAACCAGACAGCTGTTACTGCCACAGGAGACCCTACATAGTCAGTCCGCTGTGTTTTCTCATAGGAGGAAGGATGGAGAGTGTCATTAGCCCCTGTCTGAGGTCTGACCACCTACTCCTATACTTTCCCCAGTATATAGAAGTATATAGAAGTGTATATACTTCTACCCCAACTACAAGTGATCTTAGGAGGTTAAGTGTCTAAGGGTAGAGTTAGCTGAATAAACCCCATTTATAAAACCATGGGGAAAGTTGTCATCCATGCTAGGATGAGACTTTTCTGTGCTGTGACTATTTGATACCCTCCATGCATCCACATAGGAGTAATCCCAATGAATTCCTGGGTAGAGTTGGTCCTTGGTGCCCCACTCGGGGATAGTAAACCTACATTCACTTCTCCCAGGGAAAGTTTACCCAAGAGACATGTATCTGCCCTTGAAGATCCCCATCCAGCGCTTTTGGCTAACTTTCCTTAGAGCTCTTCCGTGCATATTTTCTGTGATGACATGTGCTTCATGAATTTCGGAATCCTTGGGAACACACTGCTGTCACAGGCTCACTCTTGCTCTTGTTTTCCCAAGACTGAAGGTCATTCTGAAGGAGGTATTGTCTGGATTGTTCTTCTTGAATTCTAAACCTGTCCTGGCCTGGACATGAGGCCAAGGCCCAAGGCTTTCATGAGCTAAAGGGCTCCTCCATGTGGGGTCCTGGGACCTGGAGCTTCTGGCCTTCCTGAGAGGTGTCCCCTAATCAGGCAAATTCTTCCTCCCCTCACTCCGTCTGAAAAACTCAAGGCCACTGCCAGAGAACTTTCATTTTGACAAGAGACAGTTGGTTGTCCTGCATGTCCAGTGTTTCTCATCAGGACCTACCAAGCACCAGGCAGCTTCTGCTGAGATCAAGGTGTACAGAATCCAGATGAATGCTTTAGCCAGCTTGGCCAAAGCAGAGACAGAAAGGCTGAGGTGGGTCTCCCCAATTCAGCGTCAACCTTTGCCTTGTTTTTGGTCCTTGGATGTAACCTACACCTGTCTTTCAAGATTATCTAATAGTTGAATTCTTTGTTAAAGAAATTGAGGGCGTGGGTGAGCAGAGCAGGGAGAGAATTTTTAAGACAAATGGATTCTTTTAAAATTTGTGACCATCTCTAACATAGGTGACTGGGAATAATCAGCCCAGATGGCTGGTGTTGGTGTCTGTGAAGGACCAGGAAAACACTGGAGGTCTCTCAGTGAGGACATTAGCACAGGGTCTCTATTTGAACCTAGTCACAGCTGTGAAAGACCCCGTTTCCAGGGACATCTCTGGGGCTTTCTTTTCAAGTTAGGATTCAAAGCCATTGATGCCCCTGTCTAAGGGTGGGTTCCCTAAGACCCATCAGAGGATGTGCCTGAGACTCTTTCTTTGCAGCCTACTTCCTGCTCCTTCTAGAAAAAGTCGGTTTGTCTGAGTCCTCTGGGCTGCAACCTTCTTTCTCAATCCTGTGGTCACCTTCAGCCAGCAGCTCCCAGAGAGGCAGCAGCATGGTGGATCTCACAACTTACTAGATTTTTTTCCTGTTCTGCTCTCCTGGGGGGGTTTAGAATAGCTGGCAGCCTTGTTGTCTGGGCCATTGCCTCCTTGAGAAGACACACAGTCTGTCTCCTGGAGCCAGGTCCCAAGGTAATGAAGAAGTAGCCAGCAGGCCGGGGTTGACTGGGGTAGGAGCAACCTTTATTCCTCTCCCCGCACTCTGACCTGTGAAACAACTGACCAGTAGGCACAGTGGTCAAGTGGTTCAAGCGCTCTCTATTGCTGATGCAGCTACACTGAGAACACCTCTTTCTGCCTCTCTGTTCAGAAATAGTCCCTATCTCCCTCTCTTTCCCTGCAGGCCCACAGAGGATCGAGAGGCTCTAAATTCTGTAGCCAACAGGAGGTTGGGTCCTACACCTGACTTTCCTGGATACAGGCACGCTGGAAGAGAAAACAGTACATCAATAATTGCAGTGTTGGGGAGGGCAACAGCCATTTATTTGCAGAAGCTCACTTCCTGAGGCGTGCATAGACTCTGCCCCAGCTAGCAGCCCCAGCCTCCATCTACAGAGCAACCCGCTGTCAAGTTCCAGAAATTGCAGTAGTTTGGACATGAGGGCTGTTTGCTGTCCCTCCCCTACTGTCTGACTGTATAACTGGTTTATAAGAAGAGGATACCAGTAGCCAAAGTATACAGACTTGTTGGCTTCTGTTAAAGAGCCTGCAGTCTCCTGATGGCTAGCTGGCTGACTGGAAGTGAATTTTGCAAAAATTTGCCTTTTATTTCAGAATGTCTTGGGCCAACGTGAATAATCTGTGATTGGAAAATGTGTGACATTTTCTTTTGGTCCCTGTGTTTTGTGGTGGTAAGAATCAAACCCAGGGCTTCACACATGCTGAGATGTACTTGACCACTGACTGAGCTATAGACAGCCTCCAGCAAAATGCTTCCTAGAAGTATCTGAATTCTCTTTCAGCCCGTCCACCCTGGAGAAGCCTCTTTCACTTTCTGCCTACAGAACAGATTGGCCAAGGTCAGCTTGTATCGGCTTGGTGCCACAGAGGGAGGGGTGGCAATGCAAGGAACAGAGCCATGGCTGCTCCACTACAAAGCCCTGGCTGTGGACGGGCTGTATCAGAGGGCTTGGTTTTCTTACATTCTGTTCTCAGACACAGAGATTGACATTGTGTCAAATTCACTTGAGATAGCACAGGATTAGCAGCTGAAATAAGATAGGGACAACAGAACTTTGGGGAAATTCCTGAAACCCTGGCAGGGTTCCTGTGCAATTTTTCTTTCTTGTAGGAGCAGATAAGTGTTGCTAATCTTCAGGCACCAAGCAAAATGTCTGTTCTTTCCCGTAAAATTGCCTGGACGATGAAGGCAGGTGAGAGTCTCCACAGTTTAGAAATCCTCAGTTATGAGATTTCTTAGGCTGTGTCTCCATGTTGTATATAGTAGAATTGGTTACCTGTCATCATGCCTGAGGTAGAAGGATCTGAACCTGGATTAAATCAGAATTGTAGGTTCTTACCCTGGAAGGTGTATGTGGTGGTCTCTGTGCAGCTGCTTTGGCTGAGGAGATGACAACCTTTTCCAGTTGGAGGGCTAGTCACAGGGATGGAGAATCCCTTCATTTTGGCCGTTGGGACAACTGGCCATTTACTCCAAGTGAAGGATTCTAAGGCACAGAACCCTTCTAGGCACTGGAGTCATAGCCGTCAGTGAAAGTACATTTATGCTTAAGGGGCAAACTGCCTGTGGGTGGAGATATCCATGATGTCCAGACGCAGCTGGAAGCATGCCACACACTCTAAGCTATGTCACCCTCACCTGATCTGTCACTGGCACGTATCAGCCTCATTTTAAAAACAAAGGCATCAAGCATGTCAGCAGCTTGCCTGAGTGCCCACACCCAGCAAGTAGCAGTTGAGCACTTTGAGCTAGTGTGCATGAGCTCACCACACCCTTTTTCCTTTCTCATAAATTGTGTGTATGTGTTTATAACATTTGTACTCATTAGTGTGAGTCCATGTACCCATGTATGCAGTGCCAGAGACAGGCCAGTGTTGGATGTCTTTTGATTACTTTCCACCTTTAGTTTTTGAAGCCGTCTGTCACTGCACGTGAAGACCTTTGATTCATCTAGACTGGCTGGCCAATGGGCTTTGGAGTCCCCCAAGTCTTCATCCCTCCACCCCCCATCACTGGGGTTTACAAGCATGCTTTGCTGTGCCCAGACATCCTCCCCACCTGCTTTTTAAAATGGTTCAAATCTTTTGATGACACTAACCTACCCATCCTCTCCCCTCTCATCCCCAGTGTACATCCCACCATACTTTCCCATGCCAGCTTCAGGCAGTCATTTGAACCGAGGCTTTAGTGCTGCCTAGATGTCCATGGATGTGGGACCATCTACTGGAGCCTGGAGGCTTCTCAAGGGCCACCTCCCTAAAGAAAACAGACTCTTCCTTCCACCAATTAGCAGCAGCCTCTCAGACAGGGGCGGGACTTTGTGAGACCCCACCCCCATCCTGGGACCTCCGCTGGCTTGATCCTGTATAGGTCTTGTGCATGCACTCACAGCCACTGTGAATTATTATGTGCAATGTCCTGTCCTTTCTGGAAAATATTATTTGCTGCAGTTATGTATTTCCTCTTCTACAGTAACCCCCGAGCCTTTGGGGGAGGGATATGCTATAGACGGGCCACTGAGAGCTGAGCACGGCATGGTCTCTTATTCTCTGCATGTGACCAGTTGTGCTTCTCTGAACTAATCACTACGTACTGCCCAAAGAAGCTTTTCTGAAGAGGGCAGAGATGCACTGATCTCTGGGTGTAAAGATGAGAATTTGGGTCGGGGGCAGTTTATTAGTATTTCCGGTTAACAGAGTGATGGCATTGGAGATCCAAACTCTGGTCCTGTGCCTGCACACCAGCTACTTTATTATTCTGCTGCCTTCCTCAGATCTTCCTTCACGTTCTGCAGGTGACTCCCTAGGCTCTCAGTTGACTCTGGGGCCATAGACCTGGGAGAGGGACTGTAGTTCTGCACTTGTGACAACTTCTTAGGTGCTGCTGCTGTGGATGACTGCTGGACCACACTGGAGTGGTCGTCTTTGGACCATGATGGCTAACTTTCACCTCCCGAAGCTAAGTTATTCAGAGGGTGCTTAACATCTGCTCTGTGCTGCCTTCATCAGGATTTTGTGGTATCATCCTTTCCTGGGCTCAGTAGTTTGAAGATTGAGGTCGTGAAGATTATTTGGGGTACTTCAGGAAATGGACACATGGTTTTAGAGGACACAGTACATGGATAAAGTGCAGAGTAGACAACACATCAGGCTTCTTTGGATCTTGAGCCTCATGCTCAAGTCTCTCCTGTACATTCCTCTCTACTGCTTCTTTCCTTCACTCCAATCTGCTCCCCACCTTTCCAACATGGCTGCCTTACTTAAAACACACCAGCCCCTTCAGACTCCACCACATCCCACAATAACCACACACTTACTATTTTAAGTTCTGGAATCTTGGTTCTTCTGTCAGTAGTAGAGTATGGCAGTTCTGGATTAAGACAATAGAGCAGGAGGGGGAAATTGGGTTTGGATGATATATTTACATATATACACAAACACAAGACCATGTATACAATGAGACTTCATTCTTGGAGAGCCAGGCTACTTTCTGTCACACGCACACGCGCGCGTGCGCGCGCGCACACACACACACACACACACACACACACTACTTGCCAACTTCCAGGAGAATGTCACGTGAAGGCAACAGGGGTTTCCTTTAGGAGAGGGAAAAGAAATCTCTGAATTTCTGCCTTCTGAATAGCATCTCCGTGTGTTCCCCAATTGCACATTTACTTATTTATTTTTAATTTTATGTATGTGAGTATTTTGCCTGTAAGTTATATCTCTGTGACATGTCATGGCTGATTCCCGCAGAGGCTGGAAGAGTGTGTTAGATTGAAACTGGACTTACAGAAGGTTGTTTACCTACATATGTGTGCTGGAAATTGAGTCGGGTTCCTCTGGAAGAGCAGTCAGTGCTCTTAACCACTGTGTCCTTTCTTCAGCCACAAACAGAGTTATTTGTAAGCTTACATACTTCAGCTCTCATACTTGTTCTTAGATAGGCTAGGAGATAGCAGAGAGGGGCAGTGAAGGAGACACATGAGCCTTCTGGAAGTTCATCCGGAACCCCTGACCTTCCAGAAGTTCATCTGGAACTGTGCAACTGGAGCGACAGAGAAAGTGACAGCCAGGGTGTTTTGAAGGCAAAAGAGTTTGGGGTGTTTCTGAACGTGGTATGAAGATTGTGAGAACTATAACGAACAGTCCAAGCTTCCTGCTGTAGAGCCTTGAGGGACTACACCCAAAGAAAGAAACAGACCAGACTTTAAAGATGTAGTTCCTAAGCAGTTCAAACCTCGAGTGGATTAAGGTGGATGTTAACCTTCACCTCACTCTCAGGAAACCTAAGACTTTTCTGGAGACTTTGTGATTCTTCCAGCAATGTCTGACTGACATTCTCTTTGGGAAAGTTCTCAGGCACACTGAGACAATGTCAAAACCAGATGGGAGAAACATGTCTGTGGGTCACATTGCTGTGGAAGTTGTCAGGCATGGCTGTTGAAGTTTATCATTAGTTAGGAAATTAGATGAGAAACTGGAAGGTTCATTGGAGAACTGGGGCATGTGAAGAAGAATTAGATGTATAATCCTGAGCTGAAGGAGGCCATGCATGAAAAGAAAATAAAGAGGCTTTGGGGCAGGGTAGACATATGAGGAGAAGACTGGCTGTCTAGAAAACACCTCAAAAGCTAATATCCAAAAAATGCCTCAAAAGACAAAAGGATAAAAAGTGAAATTTTAAGAAGTGAAATCTATGACAACAATAATTCAGAAACATATGGGCGGTACCTCAAACTCACAGAGATCTGTCTGGATTTGCTTCCCAAGTGCTCAGATTAAAGGCATGCTGTCTTGGTGAGACTATCCACATTTTAAGTGCTCAGTAGCCAATATGGCCAATAGCTGTCGACCTGGACAACACTCACATGGGAAATTTCTGTTGACACAGAAAGTTCTGTTGAACAATCAGCTCAATCCCTGATGTTGTATGTGTTTTGTTGTTGTTGCCTGTTTAATTCCCTAGCTTGATAGTCAAGGTTTTACACATTATAACTCAACTATTTCTACTGAAAGAATAAATCCAATGACCAACCACAAAATAGAAGAAGACAAAATAATACCAAGAGTAGGAGCCTGCTGTCTTTAAGAGTATCTTGCATACAGAGTGGTCTCAGGGCATGTTCCTGCCATTGCATGACTCCAGGCGCTTCTGTCTGGAAATAATACCCAGCACTGCACTGTAGAAGATAATAAAATCACCAAGGAAATGGTTGTTTGGTTTTGGCCCCCATCAGGAAACTTTTTTATATTTGAAAGTATGTGGGGCAGGCATATTAGGCTGTGCCTCCATTTTACCATTTATTGGCTTTTAAACATGGGCAGCTTTCTTTGCCTCTCCTGGGGCCCAGGTTTCTCAGTTTTGATGGGAGCCCTTGTGTTTCTCCTTGGCATCTGGATTTTGATGACTTAAGGAAGTTTTGTTAATATGGACATTATAAATTTAAGTGACATCAGTGCCATGTAGAGCCACTTGGGGTTACAGTGGGGGCAAGGGCTCTAAGCTGTGGCGTGTCATGCTGTCCTGTCTCTTTGTGTTCACAGTGATCTCTCTCAAAGCTGCTGAAGATTCTTTGGAGAAAAAGAAAGTGACCTGGGCATTTTTTGAAGGTAAGACTGGCATCTTGATGCAGCAGCCTCGTTTCTAGACAGTAAGAAAGGCATTAAAAAGAGAGAGAGAGTTTCTTAGTATTTTCACAGCATTAAGTTATGTTTCTAGACTGATTCTTGCAGGGGTGAACTAGGAATCATTGGTGGTCTCATCCACAGTGGACAAAGTGGTGGTGAAAGCCTCATTGTGCCCAATTCTATCTGTTTGTTTATTTGTTTTGTTTTTCGGTTTGTTTTACTCACCCCATACCTCTGCTGTGTGATACCAAGGAGGGGGCTGCCAAGGATGTGAACTTAAAGAATACATCTGCCGAAGCTACCTTTAATTTTCAGAAGTTTGGGGGTCTAAAGAGTTTGAAATCTGTACGAAAGTGGTTTGCATCCTATGTTAGAACCACTCAGAGAGCTTTAAACACAGAAAGGCTTGGCCCTCCCCAGAGATAGTGATTTAGTTGAAACTTGTGAATACGCCTTCATTTGATTCCAGCATGCAGCAAGCTAGGAGCCACAGCCTATCAGCTCCCAGCAGCTGCCCCTCCCAGGAGCTTGTCATGCGGGCTGACCTCTGAGGTGCTGCCCTATGCATTTGAAAGGAATGCAGCATTCAGTCTTGACAAACTCTGTAGCATGCTCCCTAAGACACTTGTATAATGCAAATCTCTGGCATCCATTCAAGCATTAGTCTTGGTGTGGAGTTCTCAACTGTGCTTTTGCCTTGTAGGGGACATTTGCTGGTTTCAGGAGACAGTTTGGGTTGCCTCAAGTGTGGGAATGCCACTAACAACTTGAGGATAGAGATGATGCACAAGACAGTCCTCACATCTGAGGATTTTGCCTCCAATGTGAGGTTACAGGTTCCTGCCTCGGAGAAAGGATAGTGGAAAAATAGTCATCACAAAATAACTGAAGATAGTGACAATCAGCAGTGACAGCATGCTCTCGTAAGTTCTCAGGCAGAGTCTTTGATCAGGGAACAGCAGCTAATGCCAATGTCAAGCAGGACCTTTGGAAGGATGCCATCTTGTGAACTGAGGAGAAATGAGCTGGTCAAAGGATCTAAGAAGAGGCATGTCTCTTGCCCCTCTACCCACTGTGAGACCAATAAGAGAGCATGTAGCAGAAGAGGGAACCAGCCTTATAGGGAAAGCATGGGGATTCAAAGCTACCTTTTCCAGTAGTCTGTTAGAAAGATACCACATTTCTTTGAAGAATTCGACTCTAACTGGAAACATGGTTGGCAAACCACACATGTTGACATAACTACTCAGCTTGCCAGGACTTGTTTAATTTTATAGTTGGAAATAATTTTTTCCCTCTCAGATCACATTTTATCCAATAACGAATCTTTGTATTTCTGGACTTTTCTTCTACACTTCATAATCCCCTTTTCTTTAGCTGATAACTCTCTTCTAGCAAAGCAGTCCCTAGCTCCCTCCCTCTGTCTCTCATTTGACTTCCTTGTAGGCAGAAATAAAAGTGGCTCTCTTCCCATTGAGGGAAGTTGTGGGGAAAAGAAGCAAGGTTTTGTCTTCTCATGGCAACTGAGTAAAACTGGGGCAGTCTGGGTGAGCACTACCCGGTGCCTCTGAGATCGTCTTAAGCGTGACCCTGTGGTTGGGTGGAATGCTGGAAGTGACTGCAGGATCCACTAAGGAAGGTCACTGAAGAGTCTGCCAGAGGGGGCCCTGGCTCCACCTCTGCAAGGCTTACAACCACATTAGGAATGAATCACAGGCTCTCAGGAGGGTGAGGTGGTCTCGGTGGGAGTGATCTAAAGACCATATTTTAAGAATGCAATGCTACAGTAAAAAAAAAAAAAAAAGATCTTATGCATTTGGGAGGACTGTAAAAATCAGTCTTGACACACTTTGCAGTGTGGTTTGAACCTCTAAGACACTTTGTATAATTGGCAACTTTTTATAATTCCACAGATGTAGACCATAAGCTTAACTCCCAACTTAATTGTAAGTACAATCTGTGGCCCAGCATGGACTTTCTTCTCAATGGAGACAGTCAAGTCCTATTGAAGACTGGAAGTTGGCACTGCCACCATGCAGCATGCATGCCCCAGGGCAGCTGTTTTTATGCTTTCTTCCCTTGTTCTGGAGTGGTCATGGCACTAGTGATAGCTGCCGTGGCCAATACCACCTCTGCCGCCACCTCAGTAGCAACGTCCCTGTGTTCTGCTTTTTTAACCTGTCACAGCTTTTGCAAGGTCAAGGGTATAGTTGAAACTCTCTGGCACAAGATCTCAGGCCTTTTGGCCTCTTGTTCCTGATTGGAAGAGCTTCAGTGTGGATGTGGACAGATATCCTTCCTCCTGGGACTTCACTAGATCTGGCTGTGTGCCTGCCCAACAAAACAAGCATTGATTGTCAGGGCTCTTGATGAGATATTGGAGTGAGTTAAAATCCCCTGGGGCCATCACTCAGATATTTTGCCCTGAGCAAGATGGTATTACAGGCTGCATTAAAAAAAATAGTGGAAGTACAGAGTTTTATTGCCGGAACAGCTATTCCCTAGGCTCTTGCCTTTGAACTGAAAATGTAGAATACTGACCCTGGCTTTCTTGACTGCTGTTGTGGCAGGTGTGTGTGTGTGTGTGTGTGTGTGTGTGTGTGTGTGTGTGTGTGTG